ATATATATATATATCTCAGGGCATGAAGATTGAATGAAACAGACTGCTGTCACTTGGTGTTGACATCACACTTCTTTTCATATATCTCAAAACAAAATAAGATAAACCTTTTGTTTCAGATGTTATAATGGCAGATACAAGTATTGAGATTCTGACAATCTTGAGACATTTTAAAGCTCACATCAAAGCTGTTCACTTATTTTGGAAGAAAATGAAATGATTACTGCCCAAAGATGGCTTCAAAATTTTAAGATAGGTTGGGGAAATTGTCCCTTGAAATAAAGCCCAAAAGTGGACAGTCATCAATTGTCAATCATGATGCATTCTGACAACCAGCATGAGACAACTTTAATAAAGCTAAAAAAAATTGAAAAATCCCATGTGTAGAGCATATTACATAAGCTAAAAAAAAAAAAAAAAAAAAAAAAATACTGCAGGAGCTGTTACAAGGTTCCCTAATCAAAAAAAAAAAAGAAGCCCCCCCACAACCTAGTACATCATTAAAAACATAAAATCAGACAAATATTATGCTTCAAAATAGTTGAAGATAATATAAAAACTTAAAAATTCAAGATGATCCTTCACACACACAAATTTCAGTCTTGTATTTATACAGAAAACAAAATAACAGTTTTAGTTAGATTGTTTTCAAAGCAATAAGATTTTTTTGACAAAATAAGGTTTCGCTTTTCGTCATATTTTGGATAATATAGTCATTATTATTATTGGTGAGATCAATGTTTTCCAAAGCTTGAAATCTGAGATGTATTATTTTGTAATGAGAGAATTTAAATAGAAAAAAATAGTTCAGTGATGAAAGAGAAAAGATAAATCTTATGAAGCAGTTGATCCCAAGTAGAGAGCAAACATGTTTTGTGAAATTTATGTAAAAATCAGTCATGAACTGATAATGGAATGGATGTTTTATGGGGAAACAATAAAAAATAAAATAAAAAGAACTGTGAAAGTGGACTAGAAATTTTGAAGTTAAAAATTTAACAAATAAACTCAAGTGAGTGTACACAAATTATATATATGTGATAAAAATATAGTTTAAAGGTATGCTTGTAACACTGAGGTCATGAGGTGGTTAAATGTTGATTCTGAGCAGAAAAGGGTTAAGCCTAAAATAGAATGCAAGCTGGAAAAGAGTGGAGACATTTTCCTTGGTGAAAATGGGACTGTTTGGATTTCTTCTCTCCTAAAGTTTATTTTTCTTATCTATCGAGAGTCTGGCATACAGATAAAAACAGATTTAGAAAACAATTCTATCTCTTTCTTGAGAATTTAGGCACACAAATATATTGAAGACAAGGAATGACCTTGTAGAGGGTCAGGGATATGAGGATCAATCCTGTCGTGACAAGCAAGTGATCTGGTTTGTGTTTTTGCTAGACTGAGATCAGTCCGGGGATGGAGAACAATTTTATCTCCTCCTTGAGAATTTAGGCAAACAAATATATTTTTGTTGACAAAAACGAATTGTGAAATTAAAACAAGGAATTATTTCTTAGGGCCAAAGTTATGAAAACAGATCCTGTAGTTGCCAAGAGGGTGATCTGGTTTGTGTTTTCACTGGACATAAATAAGTCCAAGAATGGAGAGAGAATTTTATCTCCACCTTGAGGAGGCAAGAGAATTAAAATTAATGACTGGAGTGAGCTATGCCCACATGATTTAAAAATTGGATTTGTCAGCCCTGAGAGGTCAGCTAATATAGAATGCTAAGGAGGAAGAGGGAGGATTTGGCACCACTTGTGTGGAGTGGTGGTGTGAGATGTGAAGTGAAACACAAAGTTAGGAGGAGAGGGGCAATCCCTGTAACTACTCGAGAAGGGGGATAATTCTCCAAATTTGAAGATCAAGTTGATCAAGAAAGCAAAAATAGGAAACAAAAAAACCATATTAGAATTAATATGGAAATTTAAGAATCAACAAATCCCAAGAACCCTTCAAACCCCATGCCAATTTTGGGCTGAAGTGCATATAAGCAAATAGCTTTGAGAGCTGGAAGACTTGGGCTGAGAATCTGTGAGTACCTTGGAATCCACCAGCTGCCACCAGATTTCCTGATTCTAAAGAACTTTGAATCTCAAATATTAGGTGCAGCACAGTGTCACTATAGAGATTGATGTGGGAAGGGTTAATTTTTTGTACCAAGAACTATATAAACCAACTGCAGATTAACCCAATGAATCTTTCATTTTATTTTTTCATTGCGAAGATATTTTTCCTTAATATAGCACCCACCATGGCTTGAACCAGTACTGTGATTACTACATTTGACCTTCCACTGCTCCAAGATCAAAATCACAATGTAGGTAGAGTTGGTGTAGAATGAAGCAGCCAGCAATCAACAACCAGCTTGGACCAGTGTAGAGTTAGGCCTGTGGTTAAAGGTGTTGTCCTAAGACCCTGAGGACTGGATCACTAAATATGTTTACATCACTGGGTGTAGGCAACAGTAAAAAATGTTATATGCTATATTTATGGGTAAAAGTCTCAGAGAGATCATATGTAAATATAAAAGTGGACATTGATGTCAACACTTAGCAGTGACAGTATTCTAAGATTCAGGAGATTTTGTTAAAGCATGAACCAGACTGTCACTGTGTTGACCTGTGTCCACTTATGCTAATAAGTAAGTGGAAAGGATTACATATGTACATTAATAAGTCTGCACCCTAATGATAAAAAATATTTAACACAAATATTTTTCAACTCTTTCCTTGTCAATGTAATTAAGTCAGTGGTAAATATTAATCACAGGTCAAACTAGCAGCATGGCCCAGCGTTGCCCGTGCTTGATTCAAAAATCGTACGACTCATACAGCAATTGCTATCACTTGACTTAATATATTTTTGCCCTTCCTTGCCTTTAAAGGAGTGCCCTTTGCCGTGCTGATGTTGCTACATGCCTTACTTCTTGCCTATCTCACACTGCTAATTTTTTCTAAGCTCTATACTAAACATTAAATCTGTTACGAAAAAAGAACTAAACAAAATGAACGCAAAACAATCAGCTTTAAAAAAGGGCTCGTAACTGGAAGAACCGAATGAAAAAAGAATGTTAAATACTTTTTCACACTCAACCCAGTTCTGCGGAATCAGAATCAATATTGAATTTAAGCAAGCGAATGAGCCAATTGGAGTAAAGTGCCATGCAGATTTAAATTTTTCCCCACTTGTGATGAATGCAGCTATTGATTTCTTTTTGCATGCTAGTTAACATTCGTGTCAGTCAGCTGTTGGCTCTCACTCTGGCCAGTACAAAATGGCCACAAACTACATGAAAACTGCCATACAAGCATGAAAAAAATCAATTATTTCAACTATTGATGGGAGTTGGGAAATACAAAGTTGGCCTTGGCCTTCTCGCTAACTTGGAGCATGTGCATGTGAATTTTGGTGCAAATCTGTTGAAAATTGCGGCCGTGCATTCGTTACACACACACCCTGCCTTTTATAGATAGAGATGTTATACAGTGAAAATTTCAGATCAAAATTCTACTGTGTCAAATTAAAAACTTATCAATGCACCCTCAGAATTGCTAAATTTAACAAATAAAAATTAATCTAAAAAAAAAAAAAAAAAAAAAGCAGCTGAAAACTATATTAGTGGGTTTAGGAAGAGTTTAAGAACTGCAGATGTATGCATGTATTTTCCTATAGAAAATTTTCTACTTGAAACAACTACAACTGTGAAATAAGTTTTGCATCATTATCAAATAAATACTTTATTGCAATATATTGCTTCAGAACAAATCCAACATTGCACTGATAATATATTTTTATCTGATGATGAGATTTACAGTTTAAGGTAAAAACTCATTCATGAGGGCAGTTTGCTTTAAAATCATCCCCTTTTCATGTGTTAAGCAATATTAAAATTTAAGAAGGGGCCTTGTATTTTAAATATATTACAAACTCACTAACAAAAAAAAAAAAAATCCTATTTTTTGTAACTTTTAAAATGGCAAGCTAAGAAATGCTAAGATTTTTTTTCATAATAAAAATTGTTTCTAATATATGTTTATGCATAAGGCAGTCAATGAGTGAAAGAATTACCAGTGATGACCCTCAAAAATTACCTTGGCAGGAAAGAACTAAGATTAGTATAAAGGCAATAAGAGTGTGCATTTTTTAAAGAGTAAAAAATTATATGTATTTTACTTATAAAATACCATTCATTTTTAACACACATGCACACACACACACAAATAGCTGTAAAACAATTTTGTTTGTAAATATTACAAGCCTTACCTAGAAAATATTTAAAAGTTAATTCTTAAATAGAAAACGTATGCTTTTCAGAAAAAGCTAAAAAGATTATTTTAATGTAAAAAAGAAAAAAAAAAAGAGTGAAAGAATAAACCTATCATAACTTTCTAAACTTATTCATTGTATGAAGGACAGATGGTCTATTCCGTCCTGGGTAAGACGATAAACTACGTCCAGCAGCAAGGCCTCTGATCAGGAGGTTTTGAAGAGCATGGAACCACCTCTTAGGGTCCCAGCTATGGGAAAATTGTTAACCCCTAAATGGGGATAAAAACACTATGAAAGTGTAAAAATAGGTTTTAATACCAGAAATACTTTGTAAAAAAAAAAATATTACTAGCAATAAATTTTGAAGAAAAAAAAAAAAAAAAAAAAAAAAAAAAACAAACAAAAAACAAACTATTACCAGCAATAAATTTTTGAAAAAATATTACCAACAATGTTTTTAAAAAATAAATATTACCAGCTATACATTTTTGAAGTAAAAATATTACCAAAAATAGATTTTTGACAAAACAAAATATTACCAGCAATAAAAATTTTGTCGGCATTAAATGACCCATTGAGGTTGATATGCCGTAAAACAAACCAAACGGTCTATTCAGAAAAATGTTTAAGTTACTAAGATCACTTTCACTCACTACTAAAATGCATCAATATGTGTAGGTCTTTATTTATAATTTTATCTTAAGAAAAGAAAAATGTTCATTATCAAAGAATTATGAAACAGTTGACATTTGGTTTGGACTTAAATCTTCATTCAGGTTTTGATTAGCTTTAGTGGCTGGCCTAAATGGCACACTTATGCTAAAGAGATCTCCAAAGAATTTCTTCTCATTATCACCACCCCCAAAGATGAGAACTTCATCATCATCTTCATTTGCTGATGTAAATGGAAGGCAAAGGCATGTGTGTCCTACACGAGGTACTGGGCTGCAAGTGAGCAAAATTTCCATCCAACACATTGTGGCTGTAGAAAGAAGAAAGCAATAAATAATTAACATCAAACAAGAATAAGAATATCAAAATATCTGAAAATCCAAATCCTAGCACAAAATCATCAGTTCTTATATTTTTTTTTTTCAACCAAATGTAAAGGGTCAATTGATAAAGGGCAGTGATAAAATAATAGTATTACCCCCCGCCTTGACACCTAACGTATTTTTTACTATCAGCGTTCTTAATGATCATTTTTTAAATAGAAATTATAATTTTTAATTTTAAGTGTAACTTTGAATCTAAATTTGAATTTAGATTATAGTACAATTAAATATTTAACAGTAATAATTTATCCAACACTGCAAAACTCAGAAATAGTAACCAGATTGCAAATAGTTCTTTTGTACCTGATGACAGCATGGTGCATGAAACCAAATCATACTGTCGGCATGGTGTGTGTGTATATATATATATATATATATATATATATATATATATATATATATATATATATATATATAACCTTGGGAGAAAGCTTGTCTCAACTTCAAAAACAGACCCACTGTGGCAGTAGAAGAATAAACTTTTTTTTTTTTTTTTATTTAGTAATGTATATTGATGAGGTATGGAAGCAAGTTGACTAGTATCAAAAACAGCTCAAACCAATATTCATGTAGGTGAGTAGGTCCCTGGTTGAATCAAATATGCAATCTGCCAGTGAGGTTGGTATAGATTATGTATAGCTTTGCCCTTTGCCTTAATAATGAGAGAAATATCTGAGGGAGCACCATGTGCATATATCTCTTCAGACATGTTCCAGAGCAGTCTATAATCTAGTTGTGTTAGGCTGTAGGGAATTTAGTGAATTCTGCAACATGCCCCATACAGATTCAATCTGGTGAGTGTGGATACCCATGGAGTTACTGGAACTGGACTGTTTCACAACCTTGATGAAACAAATCACTACCACCGGGGAACATGATGAATATTAAAGAGTTCAAGATTTGCATCATACCCGTAAAGACTTGTCCCTGTAAAATCCATCAGAACACAATTACAGCCATCATAAGCTTGCACAACACCTTGCCAACAAGCTAGATTCATAACTTCAGTTTCCTTCATACATGACAAGAGTTGAAAAGGTGAGTCATCTAACTAAATGACATGGGGCCAAATCATCCATGTTCCAATGACAATGGACTTTTACCCAGGTGTCGTGCAGTAACTGATGTCATGGTATCAATAATGATATCTTTGTTTGTTGACAGTTACAAAAGACCATTGGCATGCAGTGTACACGTACATTGGCATGTACAGTGTACATTGACTAAGATATTCAGTGTTATCAGCTTTGAAGTAAGATGTGATATCTATCTGGAATTCACATACTCCTGGTATACACTTGCTCTTGTTACCTAAGCAAAGCCTCAACCAGATGTCACCTTGGCTGTTGCTGCTACATTGCCTATGACATCAGACAACTGACTGTGTCTATTCCTACAAATGAGAAAGGATGAAACCTTCACGTGTACCTTCACTCTATAATTTTTTCATCACTTTATCATTTCTTGGTATGGCATTTGTGTCTACGCAATTGCTATTTTTTTTTGTTTGGGATCGTATGTTGATTGAAAGATGCAAATAATACTTATTCAAATTTTATTTATTCATTTATAAAACTTTATTCTTTGGCTTGGAATAATTTGTGAAATCTATACTATGATACTCTACTGAAAATTTTCAAAAAGTAAATACTCACCAACATCAAAAATATGAATGTCATCAAGAGCAATGTCTCCATCATAACCACCATGTATTAGTACGCGACTGTGACTCAAGGCACAAGAAGCATGCCAACTGAAAGGAAATTATATATGCAAGTAAATAAGAGAGACAACAGAGACATTCTGTAATTTTGAGGTGATTAATATCCTATGTTGGTTTCAATTGAGGAATGACTACTGCAAAACACTTCCACCACCCAATCAGACAAACCATACAGATGCATGCTGGGATTTCTTTCTAGCCAATAAGATAGTCTGATGAGACCAAGAAGTGGCCTAAGTTGTGTTTTTTCTTGTAGCCAGAACACTGTGATTGCTTGTCTGTATCCCCTTTTGCATGTTCACAATATTCTTAGTTTCTTTTTTGCTATAATATCATTTGACTTATTACTGTTACTTTGCCCTGCATATATTGTTTGCTTACTTAATATTATTTTCCCGTTTTTTTTCTCTTTCTCTTGTTATTGTTTATTGGCAACTTTGTCAAAATATTCTGTTTGTTGTGCATTTCTGCCAATTACATTTAACCATGACCAATCATATGCTCTACAGGTTACAAGCCCAGAAATATTTCAATGGTGATGAATCAAAATATGAACTACGAGTGTTAAAATGTTTTTAGGATACATGAGAATCCAAAAATTAGGCAAGACTACCTTGGTACCATTTGATTGCCCCAATGATGAAGAGTACTGTGAAAAGACTAAAATGCATTTGCTGAATTATTCCAATTTCTCAATGACTGAAGTCTGTCTCTTATGATCCCTGACAATGGCAGAAAAACACTGCAAATTTTGAGAGAGCACTACTTATCAAAAGGAAAACTGAAAATCAACTACAACAAGCAAGTGGTGAAAGTATTACTGATTATATTATTAGAGCTGAAAATGTAACTTTAAAACCTTCTAAAGACATAATTGGCAATAGCTTGCTAATAGCTATGGTCTTGAAAGGCCTTCTGTCTAAATTTAAACCATTTAAAACTTATTACACATAAAGACAAAAGAGTAATGTTTTGTGAACTTAAATTAGAAGCTTTGAAGAAACTGAAAATATGATTGAAGAGAATAACAGTGAAAATTACCATAATGTTCGTCAGAATAAGGTTGTAATTCAGGACATAAAAGCTCCGATTCATGAAGTCAAATTTGGAATTATCCAATAAATAATTCCCCCTCAAAACAATCCCAATTCACCAAGCAAAATTATTATTTGCCATGCTTGTTGTAAATTTGGACATAAAAGTACCAAGTGCAGAAGCAAAAAGAAAGCTCATTTTGTAAATATGTTGAACATATTTCAGAAAAATGAAAATTTATTTCTATTTTCAATTGGACTTGATACCATCTCCAACAAATGGTTTAATTTATTGGAGTCACAACTCATGGTATTACTGTAAATCTAAATTTCTTACTTTTGATAATGATTTTAATCAAGAAAATCATTATATTGAACTTGCAGAAGCAATGCTCATGTTACTTTAACTGACATGGAAGGAAATATGCAAATTTTAAAGGATGCTTTCTATATACCTGTATATTCTCTGTATAAGTCGCTACTGAACAAGGGGCTTCTGTAAAATTTGGCCATAATTATTCATAACTTCTACTCTAATGCTGTCAAATTGGACATAAAAGAGATGGATGCTTATACTATTTAAATACTGCGATAATTTCCAAAACTGCTACACATAGCTTAAAACAATGCAATCTGAAAGATATTATAAAACTACAAAAAACTGTGGAAGGTATGAAAATTACCGATAAATCAAATTTAAACTGAAATATGTATCCAAGGCAAAATGTTATAATATAAAAATAAGTTACCGGACAAATGAGCAACTAAAATATTAGTCTTTATTCATTGTGATTTAACTAACCTAATTGAGCCAAGATCTTTGAATGACTTCAAATATACACTTTGTTTTGTTGACAATTATTCCAGTATAATCAGTATTTATTTTCTTAAATAAAAAAGTAATGTTTCTCTGAATGAAAGCAATGCTGAACCAGCAGACTGGAAATATTAGTGAGAAATAGTTGGTAGCCTGATATACATCATGACTTCAACTCACCCAGATATGTGTTATGTGGTAACAAAATTGTTGCAATATTCAGCAAACACTTCATAAGAACCAAACAAGTCTTATGCTATTTAATAATCACAAAAACACATTGTTTAGTGTTTAATAAATCTAATAAGCTCTTAATTTTAAGAGCCTCTTCTGATACTGATTGGGGAAATTTAAAAGATCGCTGCAGTATTACAGGATATGGTTTCCAATTATTACCAAACAATTCCAGGATTTTGTGGAAAACAACCTACAGTAGTGTTGTCAACATGCAAAGCAGAATATATGGCATTAGCAGCCGCAATACAAGAAGCAAAATTTCTCATTCAATTACTAAACACCATAAAAGTGAGCAAGCCACTATTATTATAATCAAGATACCAGCAACATACAAAACATGTAGATATAAAGTACCACTTTGTATGACCTGAAATAGAAAATAATACAATAAAGATGGACCATCAGACCAAAATGTTACTGATTTATTTACTAAACCCATCAGCAGACTCAAATTTTTAAGGTTCTAAATGTAGCACAATATTGAACTTCTTGCTTACATTTTATGCCCCAGTTTTTTTCTTTACCCCTTTATGTGAAAATAAAAATGACAAAAATGATAATGATAAAAATAAAAAAGTAATAAAAATAAAATATAAAAAAATAATTTGGAAATATTTAAAAGGGAACATGTAAGACAATTTTAAATATTTATATCTAGTTTGTATTTACTGCCCCCATATAAAGTAGGGATAGGAAAGGAAAATGACTGCACTCACCCATTTAATAGAGTTTCAATTGAGGAATGACTGCAAAACACTCCCTAATTTATAGACAAAACATACAGATGCAGGTTGGGATTTCTTATTAAAATTTTATCTTTTACTTAAAAAAAATGTGTGTGTGTGTGTGTGTGTGTGTGTGTGTACACACAAAAAGGTGCAAGGATAAATTGTTTAAATTACACAAAAATGAAAATAACACTGACATTTTAACAGAGATAGTTACCAAAATTACACAAAAATATCTTGAAATACTAAAGAGTAAAATTTATTCAATTCAATCACCATTGGTTTCAACCATGGCCTCCAGATGACTTTGGAATCTCCATCTTTTCTGGATATTCTCCTTGTTTAAGTTGTTGAATGCTATCATAATCATCACTTTCAGTTCATCTTTGATGTTACAAGGAATTTTGTTGGTCTCTCACTGAATTGCACTCCACGCATAATAATCAAGGGGGTTGCAGTCTGGAGAGTAAAGTGGCCAGATATAAGGGGTAATATGGACGCAGAAATGGTCTGACAGTTATGACTGGGCTCTCATATTTGTTTGGTAGGGTGCAGAGTCATGTTGCCAAACATAGGATCCAGAGCAGCACTACCTCCTCAAGGCACTTGATGTAGGCCTCCATGTTGAGTCTGAGGCACTGTGGGAAGATGAATGGAGGTATAACCTTGCCATCACTATTGATCACCCCAAAACCATGATGTCGACTGGATATATCATCGAACTCTTTCTGAATCCTTTGCACTGTCCTCAGATTGACACCCAAACACTGTGAAATTGAAAGTTATATTAGAGCTTCCAGAACAAATGTCAATCAGTACAGCATGCCATTTCCAAATTTCTAGCAAAATGAATTGCATCATGGTGCTCAACAACACTGTGCAGTCAGAAAAAATGCATGTGAGGAAAATTAAAAATATAAAATGGTGACAATTTACCAATTGCACTCTGTATATATAGCTTTCTGGGAAAGCAAATCATCAGAGTGAAGGAGCCTGTCCTGCTTCTCATCTATACAAAAGTTTGAGCAATTGGGATCAGCTGTGTGCAAATATTTAAGAAAGTTGGCAGCATGCTGCTCCTCTCAATGATAGCCTTACCTGCCAACGTGGCTTTTTGGCATGCCGTGAAGCAGGCTTGCTGTCCACTTGCAGAAACATGTGGCAATTAATCCTCAATCACATGTTCCATCTGTCTAAAAGTTTGCAAAACACACACACAAGAATATCTTACCTTCGAGGTTTGGGAGGAGTTCCTTTCATTTCAGGCTTTCTCCATTCCACAAGGCCTTAAAACAAAAGCAAAAACGTTAACTTAATACATAAACTAGAATTATTTTGAATGTTTTGATGTGGATGGATCAAAGCTATGAAACCATTTGTGCATTGTTTGGTTGGATGATTACATAAGGTTACAAAACAAATTTCACACAAATTTTCTTTCAATTAAGAATTCTGCAAAATCACTGATGTAACTATAAAATGGATTAAATAAATCCAATATACTTACTTAAATCCAGAATATAAATATCATTGAAACAATAAGGAAAATCCCAGCCACCAAAGACAACCATTTCTTCTTTTATTATTGTGGCTGAATGCCTGCAAAGAAATGAAAGCAAAAAGAACATTTCTTTAAGATTTGCAATAAACTTATTCAATGTTAAACTATTTCGCTATATTTACAACAGACACAAAAAAAAAAACATGGAACAGATATTTGAACAACTGGGAACAAATAACCTGCATGCAGAAAATGGACAAAAATAGGAAGAGGAACAAGATGAAGAAGTGTTTTCATATTGGGTTTATTCAACCTATGCAGTGAGACAATCCTAACTAGAAGACATACAAGAATTTATTATCAATAGATATGTTAAAATAAGATACATGAACAATAACATGTTGATGGAAGACTCAGAAATTAAACTGAAATGACAACTATAAACAAAAAAAAAAAAAACAACAGAATACATGGTTGCCAACAAAAGAGACAGCCTAAGGTTTTAGCTACATACTGGGAACATCAAAATGAAACAGGTACAGAAATTTAACTATCTGTAGTAATAAATGATAGAAAATTTGACACAGAAATCAGAAGACATATAGGAATAGGTAAAGATGTCTTTCAGAAACAAAGACAAGTATTAAGACTATTAAGATAAAGGAAAATATAATTGCAAACAAACAAGAGTGTTTAACTGCTATGTAATATCTAATTTCCTATATAGCAGTGAATACTGGACAATTTCCTCACAGATGAAGAGATTTCAAGTGACAGAGATGTGGTCTAACCAATAAATGCAAATAATACTATGGACAGAAAATGTGACCAACAGAGAAAGAAAATAAGAAACCCTTACAGAAACAACTGAAAGAGAGCCTAAACAAACTAAACACTAACAGGACATGCTGAAAGCCAGAGAAACTGGAGAGGGGCAGGGATAGCAGAACAGGGACAAAGAAGGATGGTAAGAGGTTAGAAATTAAAACAAAATACAGGAAGTTGTGAAGAGCCATGATTAGCCACATCCTGAAAGGACTTTGCACATAAAAGAATAACTACTGATAACTAAAAGAATAGCAAGAATGTTATTTTCTTTTTATTAAAACACTTTGTTCATTGGTCATTAAAAATAATGTCAGCATAGAAATATAAAACCTGTTTATGAAATTTTGTTTTAGAACTGGTTTCTAAAAGAACAAAAATAAGAAGATTGATGTACATCCTTGTTTTAAAGTCAACAAATTTGGGGTTTTGTGAGGAAAAGGGATGAAAATGAAAGCAAAACAGAAGTTAAGAAAATGTCAACAAAAAAGGTGTTAAAAAAAGAAATAAAAGATAGTTTTAATGTTTACCACAAATATCAATGAAAAAGAAAAGAAAAGAATTGTGGTTATAAAATAGTAATGCCAACATAAAAAAAAAATTAAATTTATAATAACACCAGTGTAAGAAGGGTCAGATTTAAAAACAACAAAAACAAAAAACTCCTTACCCTGATCTGGCAGCTGGTTTTTCACCATTAACAATTGGTGTATACCAGTTCCCCATGACAGGACTGAAAACATGAATTTCATTACTGCACCCATCAGGCTGAGGATCAGGATTAGGATAAATGCCTCCAAAGATCCAGATTTCATGTCTATATAAACAGGCTGTATGGTACGCTCGAGTTGGAGCTTTGCCTGTGACCTGCAAAATCAAATGGAAGAAAATACATAAAAATTCTGCCTCAAGAAGCCTGATCTACAACAATTAAATCACCACTGAAAAGAAATGCCTTTTTTTATTGATGTGCCTACATAACTTCTTTGCAACATTATAGCTACTATTTTTCTGTTAATATATTTTATCCATTTTGAGGCATTTGCATGAATTTTTAGTTATATTTGCAAGGCTCATACAATATGAAAAATGTTTTTGCTGATGTTCATACTGCTTAATTTTGTAGAAAGAAATAAATCCTATCTACTATAACAGCATGCACTTTCCTAAGATTCAGGTCTTGAATCTTTTAGACTAATATTTCAAGCAAAAATGTCAATTCTTAACTCTCAAGTTAATGATTGAATAAGCTCATGGCAAGTTCTATGACAATAAAATATCTGTAGAAATCCTCCATCACATCATTAAATATTTGAGCTTAACAACTTTAAAATATTGCGATAACAATCATAAATATGAATGATGGTCATTATTTTAAGAAGTGGGTAGAAATGAAAAGATTTGAAACTGACAACATTTTTCATTTCACTGAAACAGCTGTTAAACACTATCTTTCTTTCATTTTCTCATTGAAATCATGTAGTGTCTTTTTCCCATCTTTTCATGCAATCAAAACAAAATAATCCATTACTTATGAGATATTGGCAGGAGATGTTAAACACTTATCTTCTCTTATTTCTTTCTAGCCAAATCCCCATCTTACAAACCTTTAATAATAATTTTAAAATAATTCAGTAGACGATGTTATTTTATGTAAATTATGGTAACTGGATTTTTTGTTAAATACTTTGCATCTGAAAAATGCTTTTATTGGTCACCATCACTTGTCGGCCTTTTGGCTTAAGGGTAGGGGTCAAACAATGTTAAGCCCGAGCCCCAGGGAAATCCCTCTCCGCTAAGTAGCACCTCTCCTTTGGAATGGGGCTGAGTTTATTGCCCAGTGCCTGAGGTCTTCTCAAAAGGGGAAGTGCCAAGGGGAGCTTGGGCAATTTTTTCACAATATTAAACCCACTTTAAAACTCAAACCTTGTATCACATTTGGTAGCGATGTGGGCATGCTGAAAAATACTCTTTCAGCTGAGATCAAAGTGTAGTATCTGTTCTTATCAGCTTAATCTGATTCTCTCTCTCCGCTATTATCTTCTCACTGAAATCAAATGATGTATTTCTCCCTTTTCCACACAGTCAAAACACTGATTAGTCTATTATTTATGAGATACTGACAGGACGTAATAGTCATGCTAACTAGCAAAGAAAGTACAATTATAATGGGAATAATTTGAAATTTAATAGAGAAATTGCCTTTAAAAAACAACTACAATGACAAAAATGAGATCAGATAAAAAAAGTGTTCTTGATCTCAAATTGTATTGTCTTTTTTTCTATTTTCTTTAAAAAAGATATTCTGGAAATTAAAATTATTACCTTCACTAGTTGCCACATTTTTTCATCCACATCCAAGGCATGAACATCATTAAACCATTTGAGGTTTTTGGATCCCCCATAAACATATATACAACGAACTGTGGGGTCATATGTAGCAGTATGACCCATACGTAAATCTGGACGAGGCCCCTCAGATTTAGTTTCTAACTGTTTCCATTTACGTGTCTCTGAAAAGAAATGAATAGCAAGATATATATGAACATATATTACAAGTGTTTTTATCTTGGCTTTTATTGTCATAACATTAGTTTTCACTCACAAAAATAAAAGGTTAGAGGACAGTTGTTGAAAATTGTCAGTTTGTTTACATCAGAGAGGCATTGAAAAGGATTCTTAAAATATTATTACAATATATATAAGAAAATATTAAACAAACCTGGGTTCAACGACCAAACAGAATCCTTATTAAGGACCTGTTTCTCTCCTTGCCCTCCTATAAGGATGGCTTTATTTGGACTAACCATGCTGAGAGTAGGACCCCAACGTTCACTTGGATGACAGCCTACAAAACAATGACGGGGAAAAAAAATGAATTTTGTTTTCAAAATATTTTTATTGAGTTATATCGTAAAGAGAGATTAAGATTACAATCATACAAATAAGAAAAGAGTAGATTCACTTTAGAAAACCATTAAAATATTACAAGTACACTAAAATAAAATATTTAAAAAATTATGTCGATTATATTCTGAGCTTTATATCCATTTTTTTTTGTTTTGTTTTATATAACAGGGAAAAAATTCCTTATTTTATTCACAATCACAAGTTTCATAAACTATTAGTTTAGCAGTGATACATGCATTACAGTAGTGGGTAAAAACCTGACAGAATCCATTCCTCTTCACATTATTTTTAAATTCAGAGTTATCCTTATCCTAGACTGATTATCCTAGTAAGGCTAGAAATAAATAAAATAAAACCTAATTTGCCCTGTTATTTAACCTAGAGATGAAGAAAAATAGATTCATACCTTTTCCAAAGGTATTAGTGCAAAATGAACAAAAACAGATTTGGTCAGAATTTGAGCACCGATTCCACTTTTTACACATTCCTTTTCTTCATGCAGATTAATTAACATCTTTCTGGACAAAATTCAATTTTTAATTAAGTGTATTTGTGAAGTAGTTTTGAAATGTGTAATTATGTGTAATGTAAATGTTTCTTCTATCACAGATTAATGCAATTTATTGTAGAATGGAGGTGACTAGTTCACTTGATGACCTCTTAAAGTTGTCTACCTTGACTATGTCTTTAAAAGAGTCTTTTTTCATTGTTGTGATATGAATTTTAGAAAGTTTTTTTGTTGCTATTTGTGCCTCAATGGATCAGTTTGTTTTCAGTGTGACCTATTTAAGTAGCAAGAAAGTTTGTCCTGACAAAGAATAAAACTATGTATTTAGCAATTAGAAAATGTCTTTAACTGAACAAAAAAAAGCTAGTCAAAGTATTTGTTTTCTGAATTCAGTTGTGAAATTTTAATTGAAAATATTTTTACACTGACAAACAATTAATAGAGATAGCACAATATATTTCATGTAAAAGTGGCTCTATCTTATTGAAATTCTTGATACAGTCTATCCATATGACTCTGAAAAGGTTACAGGCTTCTCTTTAACCTCCCAAGTCATTACAGTATTGACCAATGAGTTTGTAAGATGAAGATCTTAGCCATTAATATCATATTGCTTATATGATTAAGTTCCACCTGCTCTTAACTCTTGAACTGCCAATAATCAGATTGCAGATTGATAAATGAATCTCTTTGAGGAATTTTATTCCTTATTTATTTTCTATGAAACTTGACTATCTCAGTAGAGGCATTTCCAATTTTTTTTGTTTTTTGTTCAACTTGTACAAACCCCAAGAGCCACTTGAGATAGAGGGTTACAGAGTAAGAGGCACAGTTTATGGGAATGTGGATAGTATAATAGTTAATCATAGACTTGAACAGGTTAACATTATAGTTATTGAAGGGAGCATCCTCTTGGGAATTTGCTGAGTGGAACTTATATCTCACCAATGAAAAGAAGGTGGCTCACTACAATGTGTGTGGCAGGTCTTAGCTGTGAAGGTTAGAACTGCTGAAACTAAAGAATGTAGTTCTTCTGAAGACTTCCCATGGAAATAGATGTTTCATCTGTGGGGAAAGGGGTTGTAGGGTGGAAAATAGTTCATTGCTCAAAAAGATGTAGAGAAGCTTTTGAACTTTTCAGAATGGAAAGTGAAAACTGGGTAGCTTCTACCCATATATGGCAGCAGTATTCCATTTTTATATGATCTTCTAAAGACAGAAGATAATTTAATGAAATCATTTTTAGGGACAAAAGGGAAATAACTCGTAAAAAGGGTGCAATTGTCTGCCCAGGGAAGAGAAAAAAGGTAATGTGGTGACCAAATAAATCTATTGTTTCTACATGTGTGTCTGTTTAATCTGTTAATCCTTATTTTCCTGGCTCTAGGTTACACAGTAAAAGCAAGAACAGGTGATGCAACAGATATGGCAATGAAGATTTTTTTTATTATTTCACCTGTCTTAATGAGTGAAATTTAATCTTAAATTTTTTTTTTCACTTTTCCTTTCAACAAAAAAAAAAAAAAAAAAAAAATCAGACGAAGTAAAAAAGAGACTGTGCCAGCAGCAAGTACAGTTTGAGAGATGTTGGAGGGACACTTTTGAACAAGACTTTTCACACAAAGATGATGCATGGAAATCAAAACTTTTGCTCCGTAAATTCGAACTAATGAACAAGCATTTCACAAATTTTATTCTGCCCAAATTGCCTTCAAATTTAATGTTCATAGAAACTGTTGATCAGTTAACCGAAATTTTCGATATTCAGCAGTCTCTTTCACATCAGATACAATTGTTTAAAAATAACGAAAAGCAAATCAGATGACTACATAACTTTCACAAGTGATGCTGTGAATGTAAGAAATTCCAGCTTCAGGCATTAACTGAAGACTAATTTAAATCTCTCAACCTCATTGCTAGATTTAATTCTCCAAATGACTGTGTGCACATGGCTATTATCCAAATTGGAGCAGAACAAACACATAATTGCAAAAGCTCTCATGGAAGAATCCAAAAGACTTAAGTCTTTAAAAAAAAAAAAAAAAAGACACAAAAATGGTTCCACAATGACAGGCATCAACATCCAAGTTTGTATACAACCAGCAATGTCCAAGCAAAGGCAAATTCATCAAGCATATCAAAGAAAACTCCTCTTTTTGTGTGTTAGTTTTGTGGTGATTGGCATTATTCTCATTTCTGTCCATACAAAAAAAGCATGTCAGTTATGTTACAAACATAAGAAAAACTTCTGTCGCCTCTTGCAATACAACACAAAACAGCAGAAATGTGGAACATAAACCTGAACCTCGAAGGATGAAAACTAGAAAGTCAGAGTCCAACATACCACTAAACGGCTACAAGTAAAGCCTTAACACAAAACTTACCACTAAAAAAAAGGGGGGGGCGTTAGGGACAAAAGGGAAATAACTCTTGGAAAAAGGGTGCAGTTGTCTGCATGCAACTACCCCCACTACACCCAGGAGGTAACATGGTAACCAAATAAATCTATTATCGTTTCTACATGTTTTATCTCTGTCAATACTTGGTTTCCTTGTTCAAAGTTACACAGTACAAGCAAGTCATTAGAACAGTCAATACAACAATTATGACATTCAGAAAAGTGACCTCAGGTTTCTAAAGAAACAAAATGAATAATATAATCTTGGTTCAAGCAGATACTCTGTGATTTTTAGTGATGAAAGAAAGTTTGAGTTGTTCAGTGAGGTTCCTAAATGGTGTCTTATAAAATCTAATGAAAAATATCATCCTGATTGTCTGTCTTGTCAAGTGGGTAAAGCATTTTGGCATAAGGTGAGGTTTCTCAACTAAAAAACTTTTCATGGCTATCTAGGTATGGAGGAACAAAAAACATGTAAATGTTGTAAAATATGATATTCTACATTGTAGATGGTTTCCCATTACAAAGAGACTCTCTCCTAATTAGGATGTTCATCTTCTAGCAGGACAATGTTCCTTGTCATTCTGCTAAATCCAGACCTGGCTGACAGAAAACAGCCTTGAAATGATGTTCTGGCTGTTAGCTCTCTGTGAAATTTATCTTAACTCTTCAATCTCCTCTTCTGATTTCTCGATTCCTGGCTACCTTCCTCTCCTCAGAAAGAACTCTAATGTCTGCATACATGGCCTGGGAGTTTATGTTTGTGAACATCTCCCGCCGGCTAGGGAACTCTCTTGAATTTCCAGACTATTCTTACATGTGTGCTTGTTTTTCTCTACTTAACTCAGTCAGCTATCTCGTCTTTCTCTACTGTTCCTCTTCCTCTCATGACTGTTCCATGCTAGATAGTTTTTCTGATAATATAGACAAGGCCATCTCCCTACACTTGTTTACAAATATATTTGTGTTCAGTGACTTTAATGCCAAATGGCTTAAGCATGGTCACCGACCCCACTGGTATTCAAACCCTTAACTTCTCAATCTCTCACGCAATTGGTTGACTTCCCCATGCATTAACCCTGACTCGCTTCTCTTCTCGATCACTTATTTTTTTTTTTATCTCTATCCTTGACACTTGTCATGCTATGCAGTTCTGCCCTCTTGGAAAATCTGATCATGGAGTTGTGTCTGTAAACATCTCCTTCCACTCCCCTACTAACCAAGAACCACCTACGAACAGAATATCTTTTTGCTATCAACATCCCTTGGAATTAAGTTTTTAATCATCCTGTTCAGAAATGTGTGTCCGAGTTCTCGTGCTGGATGAAGGCTAGCATCGATGCTTTCATTTCAGCAAGGAAATACCAAGTTAAATTGTGTTTATTTCCTTGGTTCTCACCCGCATACTCTGTTGCCATAGCCCACAGGAATCACTTCTGGCTTACCATAGTGACACATCTGATTGCAACAGACGACTCTTTGTCTCTTCTCGTAACGATTGCAAGCGTGTCCTCAATGAAACGAAGTTACAGTTTTCTGATAGAATGAAACAATGTATAGCATCTCACAAGTTTGGTTCTAGAAATTATTGGCAGCTCTGCAAGAGTGTGCTAAACAGCGAATCCTCTATTCAATCAATTTGAAGTCCTGACTTCTACAGCAGATATGGTTGAATGCTTTGCTTGGAAATTGTCTTCCAACACTAAACTCCTTTGGAGTACCCACACCTGATTTTCCCCCAAGAACTGAGGCTCTACTGAGTGATATGCACATAAGACCGTCACTGGTCTCAGACATCATTTCTAAATTAGTCTCCCATAAAGCAAGTGAAGGTGACAGGATCCTAGCTGTTGTCCTTAAGAAATGTGCTCCTGAGCTGGCTCCTGTTCTCTCCAAACTCAATAACTATTGTCTTGCTGCTTCCCACTTTCCAGTTTGTTGGAAGTCCTCCACTGTAGTTCCTGTTTTAAAGAACTCTGGAGAACCTTCCAACCCCTCCAAAGTATTTGAGGTGTTAATCAATGCTGAAGTG